GCCTGTTGCTGTGCCTCCCACTGCCTCATGGGAGGCTGCTTCGAGAGAGTGAACAGGTTCGCCAGGGAACATAAAGACAGGGTGGGGCGGCTGGGCAGGAAAGGGCCTGGCCAACACTTCCCCTCTCCAATCTTATCTCAATGACAGGCTCCCAGCTTGGCCTCCATGTGTTCATCGGGATTGGGAGGGCCCCGGCTGCAGGGCTGGAGCTGGGGCCCACCAGGAGCCTGGGGATGAGGCCCTGCAAGGTCAGCCGTCTCCCCCACACTGTGGTAAATGAAGGATTCAAAGGAAATGAAATCTACAGAAACGCAGAGACCGGGACCGGGCGCAGTGGCTCACGCCTGTAATTTCAGCACTTTGGGAGGCTGAGGCAGGTAGATCACCTAAAGTCAGGAGTTCAAGACCAGCCTGACTAATATGGTGAAACCCCATCTCTACTAAAAATATGGAAATTGGCTGGGCGTGGTGGCATGCGCCTGTAGTTCCAGCTACTTGGGAGGCAGAGGCAGGAGAATCGCTTGAACCCAGGAGACAGAGGTTGCAGTGAGCTGAGATCGCGCCACTGCACTCCAGCTTAGGCGACAGAGTGAGACTCTGTCTCAAACACCCCCAAAAAAACAGACATGCAGAGACCCTGACTGCTGTGTTCTTCTGTGTCTTCTTCCTCCTCATTCTTCTCTGTTATTTATCATCTCTATTTTCTAAACAGCTTCACTGATATCTAATTCATAGTACATGCCATACAATTCAACCATGGGAAGTGTCCCCTGCAGTGGTTTTAGGATATCCAGAGTTGTACGACCATCACCACAATCAATGGTAGGGCATCTCATTGCCTTGGAAAGAAACCCTGTACCCATTTGCAGTCACTCCCATTCCCCTCCCTGTCAGCAACCAGCAACCTGCTTTCTGGGTGTTCTGGACATTTCGTAGAAATGGAATCATACACTATATGGTCTTTTGTGACTAGCTTCTTCATTTAACCTGCTCAGGATTCATCCACCTTGTAGCATGCTTTTTACAGCAGACCCATATTCCAGTGTGGACAGACCACATTTTGTTTAAATATTCATTGGATGAGGGACGTTAAGTTAAGTATGAATACATCCTGCTATGAACATTTGCCCACAAGTTTTTGTGTGGATATGTTTTCAGTTCTTTTGGGTATGTATCTCCGAGTGGGATTTCTGGGTCAAATGGGAACTCTATGTTTAACTTTTTGAGAAACTACCAGACTACTTTCCAAAGCAGCTGCACTATTTTACATGCCCACCAGCAGTGGGTTCCAGCACGTTATTGTATCTTTTTAATGAGTGCTATCCTAGTGGGCATGAAGTGGCATCTCACTGTAGCTTTGATTTTCATTTCCCTGATGGCTAACATTGAGCATCTTTGCATGTGGTTCCCGGCCATTTGTGTTTTTTTTTTTTTTTTTTTTTTTTTTTTATGGANTGAGACAGTCTCACTTTGTTGCTCAGACTGGAGTGTGGTGGCGCGATCTCGGCTGACTACAATCTCCATCTCCTGGGTTCAAGTGATCCTCCCGCCTCAGCCTCTTCAGTAGCTGAGACTATAGGTGCCCACCACCACACCCGGCTTTTTTGTATTTTTAGTAGAGGCAGGATTTCAACATGTTGGCCAGGCTGGTCCCAAACTTTTGACCTCAGGTGATCCACTGACCTCGGCCTCCAGAAGAGCTGGGATTACAGGCGTGTGCCACCACGCCAATGGGTCTTGATTGGCCTGGCTAGGTCATGTGCTCATGCCTGAGCCAATCATAGCAGCCAGGGAGCTGGGGAGCTCCGATTGGCCAGACCCGGATCATGTGCTAGTCAGGGATGAGGATGCCCCAAGATAACCATGTGGAGGTGGGTGTTGGGGAGAGGTTCCTGTAGAAGGATGCTGGACTGACAAATAAGGCCCTCATCATTCAAGTTCAGTGTTGCTTCAGACTTCACTTGTTTTGGGGGCCCTGCCCTATAGGGACTGTCTCTTGCTCTATGGCCCAGCAGCAGCCTGTATTCCCTGTCATCCATCCATTCTTTACGAAACAAATATTTAATGAGAGGAAAAAGGCGAGGAGGAGTCTTGATGACAGGTTGAAAGCCGCAGAGGAGACTGACGGGGAGTGACCTCTGAGGTAGGAGAAAGACTAGGTGAACTGGAGTCCCTAGGTCCAGAGAAGTGAAGGAGTTTCTAGGAGGAGTGGTCGACTCAGCTGCTGCTGAGCTCAGCGAGAACAAGTAGTGACCCCAGTTTGGGCAGCGGAGACTGTGGGTGACTCCTTAGCAGGAGTTAAAGGGTGGGGACGCAGCCCTGCAGGGAAGGGGTGAAGAGAGACTGGGACAGTGGGGGTGGAGGAGGCCAGTGTAGGTAAGTCTTCGGAGATGACTGCGAGGGGAGGGAGAAATGGCCAGAGGCAGGAGAGGGCTGGGGGCAGGGGTCGGCCCAGAGAGAGGCTGATGGCACTGAAAAGCATCCAGGGGCGGGCAGCAGCGGGAGGGGATCCTAGGCCTGAGGAGGAGGTGGGTGCCCAGCAGGGAGGTTTGTCAGTTTGGGGACTGGGAGAGGAGAAAAATCCTGAAGGCTTTCAAACGAAAGAATGAGGTAAGGCCACGGGCTGGGAGCCCAGGCAGAAGGGGCTGTGGGAGGTGTAAGGAGAGGGGAGCAAGCATGAGGTCTCAGTTTCAGAGTGGGAGTCTCACCGAAAAACATGGTAGGGCTGCCGGCTTTATGGATGCGTTAGAAGTGTGGGATCACAAATTCCCAATCCCAGGGCTGTGTGTGGAGCCCTCTCTCTAAGCGATGGGAAGGCGGGTATCCTTAAGGTTGGGGTTGCCTATGCCGGAAGGAGGGATTCTATTATAATCCATCAGGCCAGGAGGTAGGTACTATTTTCTGTATTTTACGGTTGCGAAATCTGAGAGCTTCAGACCAATGTAGTATTCGTGTAGCATTGGGGTCAAACTAGAACAGGGCCTGGCATGTATTAGGTGTTAATGTTCGTTGAAAAAAAATGAAAGAATGCGTGTAGCCGGGCGCGGTGGCTCACGCCTCTAATCCTAGCACTTTGGGAGGCCGAGGTGGATCACCTGAGGTCAGGCCATCATGGTGAAACCCCCATCTTTAAATAAAAACAATAAAAGAAGAAGAAAAAGAATGTGTGTAAAGTCCACTGCTGCGCCCCTACTGGTAGGCAAGCCTGGAAGTGGCCTCAGCCTTGGGGGCTGGTAGGTAGAAGAGGGTGGCCCTGTGTGCTCTGCCATCCCTGCTGCCTTCATGACCCAGTATCAGCTTTGTGACCTTGCAGGTGGATCCTTCCAGAGTCTGGTGGTAGAACTTTGTAGATAGGTAACTAACAGAGCGAAGCAGCGTGTTCTGGACCTCATCCCACACAGGGCTCACCTCCGGATGAGTCAGAGGCCTCAGCCAGGGGCCCAGCCCCAGGTATGCCACCCCGGTTCTGTACCCTGCCTAGGCGAGCTGACAGGGCGTTATCAGGGCACACACCTGCAGCATCCAGAGCCCTCCAAGGAGAGGGAGGTCCTGTAGAGGAAAGTCCAAGAGCTGCGACCTGAACGTGGTGGGGGCAGGGCTTCTCTACCAGGAGGGCTAGGCAGAAGTGAATGTGGTCTCTTCAATAAAGTTAATAGTAATGGTTCATACTGCAGAAAACGTGCAGGAGAAAATCCTGTTTATTCCGGCTTTAAAACCATAGAACTCCCAAATTCTCCCTGTAGCGCTATTTATATCCAGAGCTGGTCCCCATACGAAGCTCAGGTTTGAAGTTAACTTAAAAGAAAAATAGCCATCCCTGCTTTAAAAAGATTTCCCGTATAGACCTCCACTGGTCTAATTACGAAGGGCGCGTTGTTTCGCGGTTGGTTGCGGGGAGGGGCATCGGGACCTCCAATGCAGTTACGCCCCTCAGCCCCTCAACAGCTGTACGGCTGCCCGGTGGGCCCTCTCCAGGGCAGCGGCTCCCAGGCTGGCCTCAGCCGACCCCACCCGCCCGCGCCCCGTGTTCTTCCTCGCCGGGGTGCTGGGGGGAGTGGGGAGGCGGGGCGGGCAGCAGATCCGGAAAAGTGGCTGTTCTCGCCCCGGAGGAAGTTGACCCTCCTCCTCCGCCGAGGGCTTGGGATGAAAATAGCTTCTTCCTCTTTACCCTTCCAGGACCCCCCACCCCAGGACGACTCGGCCCCTTCATTCATCCTCCAGCGGCCATCCCGGTGGCTCGGGCGTCCCCACGCGGGGACTCTGTACCCCGGGGGCCCGCGGGGATCCTCCCTCAGGCCTTCGCCGCAGCAGCGAGCCCCGCACCCAGGCCACCCCGGGGGCCCCCGGCCTCCCCCACCCAATTAGCGGGCAGCACCACGGACCGAGTCCCCACGCGGCTCGCGTCGGAGGAGGCGGCCGCCTGGGAAGCCCGTCCCCCGCGTCGCGGCCCCCGCCCCCGCGAGCCCCGCATCCCCTGGGAAAGGCGGGGGCGCAGCGAGTTTCCCCCAATTAGTTTCCTCTTTGTATGGAGTCTCAGCGCGCCCGTACCCCTCCGCGCAGCGGAAAGTAGTCCCGGCCGGGCGCTCCGCGGCTTTCCAGCGCCGGGCCCGTTTTACTTTGAGAAGCCGACGGGACTCTCGGTGGGGTCCTTCGGAGTGGGGCAGGGGCTGCGGGAGGCTTGCGCGGGCCGCAGGGGCGGGGACCCGAGGAGGGGGTGGGGAGGGCCGCGAACTCCTCGCCGCTGCCTGGAGAGATGGATCATGGGGCGTAGGGAGATGGCAAACCTCAAACCACGTACGGCGGGCGATACGCGTCAACCGAACCTCGCCAACGGAAGCCCGGAGCCGCCCCTCCCCGCTCCCCCGCCCCGCCGCCCCGGACGGACGGGCCCGCGGAGCCAACCCCGCTGCCGCTCGCCGTCCAAATCCCAGCAGAACCAATGGGAGCGTGAGGAGGGCGGAGCCACCTCGCGTCACGTTGGGCTGCGCTACCCCCGGCGCCCGTGCAGGCCCCGCCCCTGCCTCCTCCCCTCCCCTCTCGCTGCTCCCGGAGTAGTTGGTGCCAGTGAAGTGAGGACGGCGATGAGAGCGAAAGTTGCGCCCGGCTCGGCGCTGGGGGCTTGAAGCGGCTCCGCGCTCTGCCTGTCTGGGCCTCCCCGTGCTCAGACTCGCGCCCGTGGGGTCCCGGCCCGCCCGCCTGGCCCCGCGCCCGCCCCGCACCCCCTCCCCCGGCTTTGCGCCCCCTCCTCAGGAGTCGCGGGTCCCCGCCACTTTCGCACAGCCCCGGCCCCCGTCGATGCCGGCCATGGTGGAGAAGGGCCCCGAGGTCTCAGGGAAGCGGAGAGGGAGGAACAACGCGGCCGCTGCCGCCTCCGCCGCTGCCGCCGCTGCCTCCGCCGCCGCCGCCTCGGCCGCCTGCGCCTCGCCCGCCGCCGCCGCCGCCTCGGCCGCCGCCGCCGCCTCCTCCGCCTCGACCGCCGCCGCCTCGGCCGCCGCCGCCCCCAATAATGGCCAGAATAAAAGTTTGGCGGCGGCGGCGCCCAATGGCAACAGCAGCAGCAACTCCTGGGAGGAAGGCAGCTCAGGCTCGTCCAGCGACGAGGAGCACGGTAGGTGGCAACCGCCCCCGCGGCTCCGGGCCCCGCGCCCCGCGCCCCGCTGACCGCCGTGCTCTGCTTCCCTCGCAGGTGGAGGCGGCATGAGGGTCGGACCCCAGTACCAGGCGGTGGTGCCCGACTTCGACCCCGGTGAGTAGTGCCCCCGGCCAGGGCCGCGCGCGGAGTCCCGGCCGGCCGGCGGCGGGGATGAGCGGGAGCCCCGGGTCCCCGGCGAGCCCGTGGGGGCGGGAGCCCGCCGACAACTTTCTTTTTGTGTGTGCGTTCGCCCTGCGGTCCGCGGGGAGAACAGCAGGGCGAGGACGAGGCGGCGCACACGCACACGAGTGTTCTGCAAACGTGTTTTTGCAACCGGGGGAGGCTGGGTCGCCCCCAGCCGGGCCGGCGCCGCTGCCCCCTACGCCTCCGAGGACTTCGGGTGGCGTCGGAGGCGGCCACACCTGGCCTGGGGTCGCTGGGAGTCCCCGCGTCCAGGTGAGCTGCGCCTCGGCCAGGGGTAAGGGTGGTAGTGCCGGAGAGTTAGCGTCCTGCGAGTGCCCCAGACCTAGGAGGTTCCCAGAGACCCCTCTCTCGGAACCCTTCCCAGAGGCTGCTCCCCACGCCTTTGCTCCTCTTTCCAGCTTCGGGGCTTTTGCTGCCTCCTGACTCCCCTCGCATCCAGAAGGCAAGTAGAAGAACGACCCTCAAGATCAGTCAATAAAAGAAGTGTGTTTTCCAGAGGGCGCCTGCCTGGGGAAGGGAGCCTCGCATGTGGCAGTTTGATTTTAGGACCTATTTGTAAATGTGTGTATTTCCTTTTTTTTGGAGGAAGAGAATGTGAAATTGAGAACAACTAAAAGCTTTAGCCTAACAAATGCATTTCACCTACACGAAAGCCCTACACCCTAGAATGGAACATTTGCTCCCCTGGCTGCTATTCTGTGTGGATCAAATTTAAAGTGGTACAAGAAAAAAAATCCAATCAGACAAAGGAATTCGTCAGATTTTAGTGCATGAGATTCTAGCCGGTCTCTGTATGAGACTGTCTTTAAAGGTTGTTGGTATGGAAAATGAAAGAACGTAGGATTTATTTCAGAAATAAAATTTAAAAGAGCATCTTGTGAAGCTGGAGTTAACAATCCTCCCTGGTTGGAGGGCTTTAGAGCTGGGGTTCTCTATGTAGGGTATACTACTAGTTTGTTTGAAAAGATAAATGCATAAATGCTTTTCCTTGGAAACAAGACTGTAGAAAATTGCAATGATTTAGTACTTGAAAAAGGCGATTGGTATCAAGCTGTTACTAAGGTACTGAACTCTGTACTTTGAAGTGGAAATACGTAGAGGTCCTGGGTGAGGTCTTGGACACTCTGGAAATTAATGACTTTTCCTAAGTTGGCCTTCTAAATTTTGATTTGTTGACTTAAATCTGTTAAGTTTGTTTGTCTGAGACTCAGTTTTGTGTTCCTTTTAAGGCCATGTTAGTGCTTTTGATAGTTCCCCTTCTCTCCCAATTCTTTTTTTTTTTTTTTTTCTGGTAGTCACTTCTCATTTGTGAGTGATAGGATAGAACTAGGTGGCCAGGCGATTTCTCTTGTGTGCTTGGCTCCTCTATTCCTTGATTGGCCACCAGGGGAAGCATACTGTTTTTTGGTTACAGTTGACCCTGTCTTCATTTTGTAGGTCAAGTCTATCTTTGCTTTAAAGCACAGAACAAAAAGCCTGTCATCAAGTTTCCCTAATGTAGTATTTTAAAACGTCGACTTGCACAGATCTTTGAGTAGGTGGGTAGGCTTTTTGATACATTTTTGTTAACATTAATTTTGAAAACTTTTATGTTGGATGTGACTAAGGAAAAGGGCGTATTTGTCAGCAGCAGGAATTAGGTTTCTGATATTCATCAAAATAGTGATGTCAGCTCTGCATTGTTAGTAATGAGTCTGACTTCTTTGGAGTTGTACTTTTCTTTGAAACAGCAAACGTAATATTTTGAACTGTTCTTGCACTTTTTGTTGGAATAGGTATGAGCATAAACTTGCTAGCGACCAGCTATTCTAAAATGAAAAACATCTAGCGGATTGCAGTAGCTCCCAACACTTGAGGAGGCCAAGGATGGAGGATCTCTTGAGCCCAGGAGTTGGAGACTAGTCTGGGCAATGTAGAAAGACTCTGTCTCTACAAAAAATAAAAAAAATTAGCTGGGCATAGTGGTATATGCCTGTAGTTTCAACTACTTGGGAGGCTGAGGCAAGAGGATTGCTTTGAGCCTGGGAGGTCAAGACTGCAGTGAGCAGTGATTTCACCATTGCACTCCAGCCTGGGTAACAGAGTGAGAGCCTGTCTCAAAAATAAAAAGGAAAACATCTAACTGTTCTCCTGCATAGCCTTGCTGCCAGTTGGTTGAGTCTTGATGGGAAAATTTTCAAATTTCATATTTTGTGTTTTAATCTGGAAAGGAATTTAACTGGTATAAAGTAATTTCACACCCTGTTTTGCCAACCTGAGTAGGGGACACAGTCCTAGATATGCATGGAAATTGAGACTTTACTATTTCCTATTGGTTTTATGTATCTTCTCATTTAACTCAAAGTTTAAGGGAAAGAAAGACTTCCATTTTGCAATAGAAATGATACAACATGTTTGTTTTATGGCAAAATCTTTTCTTAGCTCTTTAAGATTTAAGAGAGGTTTTTTTCATGACTGCAAGTTAAGAGTAGTGAATTGAGGAATAAATTGATTAAGAATTGAGAGTTTGATCCTTGCTGCTTTTTATTTCTTCGTGTTTTTTTCTTTTTCTTTTTTGAGACCAAGCTCTATCTGTTGCCCAGGCTGGAATGCAGTGGCGTAATCTTGGTTCATGGCAACCTTTGCTTTCCAGTTTCAAGTGATTCTTCTGCCTCATCTTCCCGAGTTGCTAGGTTTACAGTTGTTGACCATGTTGACCAGGCTGGTCTTGAACTCCTGACCTTAGGTGATTTGCACCCCTTGGCCTCCCAAAGCTCTGGGATTACAGGCATGAGTCACCATGCCTGGCCCCTGCTTGACTTTTTAAGTGTATTTTTGTTCTTCTCTTTTACTGGAATTTGAACAGAGGGGTAGATGTGAAACTTAACAGAAAACTTTTTCTTTCTTTCTTTTTATTATACTAAAATAAATAATAAGTGTGGTAGAGATGCACGAATGAAAGAATTTGACTTTTTTTTTTTTTTTTTTGAGATGGCGTCTTCCTCTGTCACCCAAACTGGAGTGCAATGGCATGATCTTAGCTCACTAAAACCTCCGCCTCCCAGGTTCAAGCCATTCTGCTTCAGCCTCCTGAGAAGCTGGGATTACAGGCATGTGCCACCATGTCTGGCTAATGTTGGTGTTTTTAGCAGAGATGGGATTTTACTGTGTTGGTCAGGCTGGTCTCAAACTCCTGATCTCAGGTGATCTGATTGCCTTAGCCTCCCAGAGTGCTGGGATTATAGGTGTGAGCCACTGCGCCCAGCTTGATATTTTTTAAAGTCAGATTTTACTTATTTGCAGTATGCCAGCTTGACCCTATTTAGCTTTAAAAGCAAATGGTTGGAGCTACCTGATATTTCCTGTACAGTCCAAAGGAAGATTTAATTCTGTTATCCTTTACAAATAGTGAATGAGGTGATAGAGCAATTTTTTTTTCTTTTTGAGATGGAGTCTTGCTCTTTTGCCAGGCTGGAGTGCAGTGGCATGATCTCAGGTCATTGCAACCTCCGTCTGCCAGATTCAAGTGATTCCCCTGCCTCAGTCTCTTGAGTAGCTGGGACTACAGGCGCACGCCACCACACCTGGCTTGTTTTTTGTATTTTAGTAGAGACGGGGTTTCACCATGGCCAGGATGGTCTCAATCTCCTGACCTTATGATTCCCCCACCTTGGCCTCCCAAAGTGCTGGGATTACAGGCTTGAGCCACTGTGCCCAGCCGGTAGAGCCCATTTGTCCTAAAATGCCAATTCAGTTCTTAACAATTAAGACCCAGACTAGGTCGATGGAATGGCATAGCTTGGAAATTAGAATACTTTCATTTCTGTTTACAGTGAAAAAAAAAGTTTTACCAACTTTTGAAGAGTTAAAAACAAAAGCCAAAGTGCAGCCCTACACTTTTGACTTCAGCTTTGTAGTTGCACGTGCCATGCAGATTGTCTTTTCATGTTCTCTGCCATAGATTATGCTGAGCGGTCATTGGTTTCTTTTAATATTCAGTAGTTACAGGATAATAGGATAAGAGGAGGGATGCTTGTTTATCCTACCTCTGTTTAGTTCTTTTCTACACTAGCAAAGCATCACTTAATGTGAAATGAATAATGTTTTTCTTTTCTTTGAGGCAGGGTCACACTCTGTTACCCAGTGCAGTAGTGTGATCATGGCGGCAGTGAACTGCAACCTCTGGGTGCATGCCATCCTCCCGCCTTAAATAGCTGGAGCTACAGATGCACACCACCATGCCTGACTAGTTTTATTATATTTTTTGTAGAAATTGGTTTTGCCATGTTGTCCAGGCTCGTCTTGAACTCCTGGGTTCAAGTGATCTGCCTGCCGCAGCCTCTCAACGTGCTGGGAATATAGCTGTGAGCCACTGTGTTCAGCCACTATTATTACTATTTACTCTTCTTCTTTTTTTTTTTTTTGAGGCATAGTTTTGTTCTTGTTGCCCAAGCTTGAGTGCAATGGCGTGATCTCTGCTCACCACAACTTCTGCCTCCCGGGTTCAAGTGATTCTCCTGCCTCAGCCTCTGGAGTAGCTGGGATTACAGGCATGTGCCACCACACCTGGCTAATTTTGTATTTTTAATAGAGACGGGGTTTCTTCATGTTGGTCAGGCTGGTCTTGAACTCCCAGTCTCAGGTGATCCACCGGCCTCGGCCTCCCAAAGTGCTGGGATTACAGGTGTGAGTCACTGTGCCCGACCCTTTTTTTTTTTTTTTTTTTT